CCCGAGCCCCAGGGCTCCACACCAAATATTCACACAAGTCTAGAAATATCATACGAACTTGCTCGCAAGCTCAAAATACCAAAATAACATCCGGAATCACGAATCAAATAACAAACGCACATAAATTACAATGTAACTCAAGAATCGACAAAAATCACAACCAAGCATCTGATTCCTATCAAACCAAATCGGCATGGCACCAAACTTTGCATACAAGTCCCAATTAACAAAGCGTACCTACTCCAAGGCCCGAAACCAAAATCCGAACCTGATAACCATAAAGTCGATTCATGATCAAATTTCGAAAAATTCTAAACCTTCAAATGCCAACTTTCGGCAAAAGAGCCAATTCAATCTAGGAACCTCCGAATTCAATTTCAAGCATACGTTGAAGTCCAAAATCACTGTACGAACCTACTAGAACAATCAAAATACTATTCCGGGATCGCTTTCACAAAAGTCAAACTTCGGTCTTATAGCCTCCAATAGTGACCAAACATCAAAATCTACCATATTCAGTAACAGAAAGTCAACCCTAGTCTTATAGCCCCCAATAGTGACCAAACAAGAATGATAGATATGGTCCACCACAATAGAATCCCCAACGAGTGTAGACACAAAAACAGAGGTATCCAAAGAATCACGAGACATGTCCAAATATGAAGCAAAATGGGATTATAGATATGAATAAGCAGATCCAAGATCAAATAAAACTAATGTATCTCTATGAAAATTTGAAACAATACATGTAATAAGAGCATCTAATGCAACGACCTAAGTCTTACCAGGGAAAGCACAACAACGGGTCTGGCCTCCCACTCTAAGATGTCCTGTACCCGCCTGTCCTCCACCCCTAGTTGGCGATGTAGGTGGAACATAAACCATAGCCTGATTACCCTACGGAGGTCCACCCCTCCAAAGCCTAGGACAATCTTTCACGATGTGCCTGGTATTACCACACTCAAAATAACCCATCTACGGGCATAACTACTGATACTGGGTCTTTCCGGACGACTAGAATAACCGTTGTAGGATCCATGTGCAGAAGGTGCACTGAGAGATGACTGTCTGATATGAGTACCCTGAGGTCCCTAACTAGATGAAGCACCACGAGTAACCTGAAGTATAGACTGGACTGGCTGAATGATAAAGCTTCTACCATGATTGGCTGAAACCGCAGAGCGAGAACCACAAAACCCTCCAAAATATTGAGGCCTCTTGGCCTCACTATCCTCTCTCTTTTGGCCAGGGATACACTCCAACCTCCTAGAGATCTCCACAACCTGATGGAATGGAATCTCAGTCTCCAACTCCCATGCCATCCCAAATCTGAGGCTATAATCAAGTCCCTTAATAAATTCGTGGACTCTCTCCCTAACAGTGAAAACCAAAGCAGGTGCATGACGAGATAACTTTATAAATCTCATAGCATACCCGGACAACGTCATACTCCCCTAACGCAACTGCTCGAACTGTATACAACTCATCCTTATGGGTCTATGGAATAAACTCCTTCAAGAAGAGATCAATGAACTGGGTCCAAGTAAATGGAACTACGTCAGCTGGCCTACTCGACTCATAAGTCTGCCACCATCTATATGCTGACCCCGTCAGCTGAAAAGTAACAAGGTCGACCCCGCTCAACTCCAATATGCCCATAGCACGCAGAATATGGTGACACTGATTTAAGAAACCATATGCATCCTCAGAATCCCTGCCGCTGAAATGAGGAAGATGATACTTCTGGAACCTCTCTAACCTCTTCTACTCCTCCATTGATGCAATTGGCCCGACCTCGGGTTAAACCGTAATCATGGGTTGTATTGGTATAATACCTGAAGCTTGATCAACATGAGCCCACTACTGGAGTATGGGTGGCAGGAGCCTGAGCTCCTCCCCTAGCCTGTGAAGTAGCTGGTGTAACCGGAATCAACCCTGCCAGAGCCAAGGTCCCAAACATTCTAAAAAAGTACGCTAAAGTCCCCTGAAGTCTAAGGGTAGCATCATGCACCTCGAGAGCCTGCTCCCCAACTGGAGCTACTGGTGGCTCCTCAGTCACGGCCCTAGAACGACCCCTCATTGCAGCACGTGCTCTACTTCTGCCTCCTCCCCGGCCTCTAGAAACACCGGCACCGGGGGTAGCATTATCATTCACTGAAGCTCGTGTCCTCACACTCGATATTATTTAGAGTAAGGTGATAAGTCAATTGAAGTTTGATTGGTTGGATGTATGATATCATTAAATATTAATCATAATGGGGTGTCATAAAATTGACATGTCAAACAGTTAGTTTTGTCTAAAATACACTGATTAAAAGAGTATAATTCAACAAGTTATTTCTCAACCCACAGTTTAAGCTAAATTATTCAATTAGTTAATTGTTTTCTAATTGAGAATTGAAAAAAAAAAAAGATTAGATAAAGGATAGAAGAGAAACTGAATCCAGATATATCCAAGAAATTTGACATCTTTGCTGATCTCATTATGTCTATAGTTAATTTTATAAAGCAAATAAATGGTAGTGATTGCCGCTTCATATAAAGCAACGAATGTTGACACTATGAGTGATACTCTTGTATAAGGTAAAATTGATAAACGACAGGTGGATGCTCGACGAATTGATACGTGGAAGCAAAAAAAAGTAAGATACGAGTCAACAAATTGCTGGCGCCGGTGACGAACATGTGACTGGTGCTGGATAAGTTCCAAAGACAGTGAAATCGAGGACAAAAATTTGAAGGAAAGACATCAGTTGGGAAATGTAGTATTCAATAAGCAGTCGTTGCAAAGGATCTTTGCATTAATTCTCAGTCGTTATTTAGTCATCAAGAGGGGTTTTATTTATATTAAAGAAGAGCTTGATTTGGGGATCTTGTCCCCCTAAATTGAGCTATAAATAGGACAAATCATATTCATTATAGGACACGAAAAAATCTATATACAAAAAAGGCAAAAATAACTCTTATTCCATAAAAAATTATTCTTTACTTTGTTCTTCATAATGCTCTTGTTATTGCTTTCGGAGAAGCTCAACCCACAATCATCCTTTTATTTTCTTTTAATTTATTTTCATTAAATTATTGCTATTCTTGATTATTTTATATTCTTGGATTAAATTAATTCACGTATTTATAAATCTCGTTACAAATTCAACTATAACGTTTTGAGAGTAAACAGTTTGGCACCCACCGTGGGGCATAAATAATTGTGTTATTACTTTGATCCATTCATCTATTACTAACACAATTTGATACTTTTCTTTAGTAATAGAAAATTCAGATATGGCAACTAATGATATAAACAACTCTGATAATATTGGAACAAACAGCGAGTATGAGTGTGTGTTCCAGTGTGATGATTCAACTAGTGAAACTCACAACGAAGGATATGAAATAACTTCGATTCGCGAAGAACAAAATCCTTGGCATGTGAGAAGTCTAACTTCTGATGATGTGGACGATGAACATGTTGTTGAAACGGTCAAAGTTTTGAGAGCACCACGAAGGGAGATTATGAATCATCTCTCAAGACAAGATCGGGTAATGGCGGAGTTGAAGCAAGCACTTTCGGTTGCTTCCAAAAACTCCAACGGAGAAGTTCGAGTTCCTCCCAGCATGCATGCAAATAAAATAATACAAAGAACCGGTAACATCACTTCAAGGGAGAGTTTTATTTCAATAAAAATAAGGCAGGTGGTGCAGGCAGCGGATCCGGGAACAACAACATCGCTAATAATCCTTTCAAAACTGAGCTCATGATATTCATGAGGCAAATGAATTAACGAATGGACCAAAATTCTAAAAAACTCTATGCTCTGATGGATTAGATCCCAGGAGCCCCACCAGTGTTGAAGGGACCAGATTCAAAGAAGTATACACAATTGTCGCTCAAACCAAGTGCGGCCCCGAAATTGATTCAAAAAAGATTCAAGATCCTCGATATTCCGAAGTATGATGGGACTTTGGATCTACAAGAGCATATCACAACTTACACTATGGTTGTAAAGAGAAATGACTTGGCCCAGCACACGATTGAGTCTGTCTTGTTGAAGAAATTTAGCGAAACCCTGACGAAGGGAGCTTAAAAGAGGTATTCTCTTTTACCCGAGCATTCAATCTACTCTTTTGAAATGCTTGCATATTCTTTCATTAAAGCTCATGTTAGGGCAAGAAAAGTCTAATCTAGGAAGGCAAACATATTCAAAATAGCTCAAGGAGAGCCTGAACTGTTGCGAGAGTTTGTAATCCAATTTCAAAAGGAAAATATGTTGTTTCCGGTAGTTCCAGATGAGTGGGAAGCTGAAGCGTTCACCACATGTTTCAATCCACTAAGCTTCGATGCCTTTAGGAAATTAAAGGAAAGCATGTTTGAATTTCAGGAAACCACATGGGCATATCTCCACAATCATTATGAATCAAAAATCAGAATTAAAGATGATCAACTGAGCTCTTCGGTGTCATCCAAGGGTCACAATCGCGATTTAAATAAGAAAAAATTTAAAACTGATTTTGATACAAACTGGATGTCTTCCATGATTTGTTTTCAGCCTTACGAAAGAGTTGATGGGCGTAGAAATAAAAGATGTTAGCCATCAAACATGTTTGTTCCTGATAGAAGGGCGAATCGTGGTCGGAGTAACAGAGCTTTACAGGAGAAGAAATCATCGGGGTCCCTAGATTTAGCATACCCCCTGTTATCCGATTATAACTTCAATATCAGTTTAGTAGAACTAATTTCGTCTTTAAGAATCATTAAGTAGGCGGGATTTTCATAACCAGTTCGATTGAATCCCAGCCAAAGGGATCGTAATCTATATGAATTTCATGGAACGCATGACCACAAGTCTGCGGACTGCCGGCACCTTCATGAAGAGGTTGCATCGTTATTAAAGAATGGTCAGAGAATTATAAGTGATCGGGCCAAGAAAAATTATGGGAGGAATCAAGATGCTGCAAAACTAGCCTAACTTGCCGCAAGGTCACCTCGCCTAATGATAAACATGATCTTTGGTGGTGTTGAAGTAAATGGAGTGACATTTGCAGCAGCAAAGAAGATAAAGATATCGGTAACTCATGGCAAGAGGATCCGACAAATATCAGATGATGATAAAATCACCTTCACGGAAGAAGACGCCGATGGCCTTCCTTTACCACATAACGATGATATGGTAATATCACTTAGTGTTATAGATTTTAAAATTAAACGTGTGTTGGTTGATCCAGGTAGTTCAGCCAATATCATTCAACTGAGAGTTTTGGTACAAGCAAAGTTAACTGGAAAAATAATTCCGGCAACGAAGCTTCTGGTTGGGTTCAATATAACGAGTGTGATGACCCGAGGAGAGATTTTACTTCCCACTCATGCCGAAGGTGTAACAAAGACCACTTTGTTCAAAGTGGTAAATGTCGATATGGGATACAACGTGATCCTTGGAAGGCGATGAATTTATGAAATGAAGGTTGTTCCATCAACTTACCATCAACTAATGAAGTTCCCTACACCGGAGGGGATCAAACAAATTCGAGGAGATAAACTAGCTGCGAGAGAAGTGAATGCAGTTACCTTATCTAGTAGCAAGGCAAAAGGAACAAGCAAATAACAACTACAGGGACGGATGCCCCCTTTGATCCTGATTGAAGGTAATGGGGAAGAGGAGTCATCAGATTTCCATCAGGTATCGAGGTTTTTACGGGTACCAGAGGAAGCAAATGCAACAAAGTCAACTGCAGAGGAGCTCGAACAATTTGCTTTCACGGAGTTCTTAGAAAGGAAGTTCCATTTGGGAATGGGGTTGATCCCCGAACTAAGACTTAAAATTATTGATTTTCTTAACACTAACATTGATTATTTTTCATGGTCTCACTCAGATATGATAGGTATTAAAATTAATTTTGGACCCTAATATCCCTCCGGTAAAGCAAAAAAAAAAACGAATAATAGCTGAGGTTAGAAACAAGTTTGTTAAAGAAGAGGTAATCTAATTACTAAATATATGTTCAATTCGAGAGGTAAATTATCCTGATTGGTTAGCTAACACAGTGTTTGTTCCTAAAAATAAATAATAAATTTAGGATATGTATAGATTTAGCTCAATCCTAAAAAATGCGCTTTTGGAGTTGGTTTCAGAAAATTTCTTGGCTTCTTGGTTTCACAACAAGGAATTGAAGTGAATTCCAACAAGATTAAGTCCATATAATATATCCTTGATCAATTGACAAGTGTGAAGGAAGTTCAGAGTTTGACTGGCCGGTTGGCGGCACTTAGTAGATTCATTTCGAGTTCTGCGAAGAAGTGCCATCATTTCTTTTCACTCTTGAAAAAGATGAATGATTTTTGTGGACTGCGGAATGCCAGAAAGCATTAAAAGTCCTAAAAAGTCTCTTGTAGAATTTATAATAGGGGGAAAAATATAGAAAGAGGGGGTGGAGATAGTGCGAGGGAATTTATACTTTGAATTAATTTAAAAAATAAAATTAAGATAAATAAATAATCATACTCAAAAATATTACTGATAAGTTTAAACATTAATCCGAGCAATAGTATAGAAGAATAAAAGTACATACAAATTTTATTACTAGAAAAAAAAAAAAAAACAAAGTCATCTGTAGTATATTATAATGGAAGTAGCGGACAAGAATATGAACAATTCTAATTTATGATTAACTTAATAACATAAACAAGGAACCAAAAAAATAAGAAAAAGTATATAAATAAATAACTTCAGTATAGAGATATTTTAAATGATAAGACTTATTTAATTTTTGAGATTAGAAAGTTTTTTTGAATAATTTTATGGGAGTTTTATAGCGTTACCCATAAAAATCAAACTAATTACCCTTGCCTACCTATTTATTTTCCTATCCATCAAACTAATTATATTTCATACCCATTGTAGCTTTTGTGGGTAATTGCTTCTTTTTCTTCTTTTTTTTTTCTCGTTTTTCTTTATTTTTTGCTTTTTTCTCCTTTTATGTTTATTTTTCAGTCATATTATTTTTTATTTTATTTTTCCACCATAATTTGATTTCATGCTCAATTTTGGCTCTTTTTTTTCTTTTGTTCATTTTCATTATTTCTTGTTCCTTTTTTAATTTCATTTAAATTTATTTCCTTTTTTCTGCATAGTCTAATTGTATTCACTTTTTTTTGCTCCTTTTCTTCACTCTTTTTTTTTTGTGCAATAATAAAAATATAACTAATATAGTAAATACTCGTTCACTTTTTTTTAATATAACTGATATAATATATCTTTGTCTTACTTTTTCTCATTTTCTTTTTCTATAGATCTTATTATGTAGATCAGCTATAAGAACAACTTATACATTATACCTGTTTTCTTTTCTCCTTTTTTCCTTTTATTTTTTTTTTCTTTTTTTCTTTTCTAATTTTATTTATTATTATTTTAAAATTATATTTTCTTTTAAATTTTTTTCCTTAATGTAATTATGCACATCCTTTTCACTCCTTTAGTTTTGTTCCTTTTTATTTTTTCTTTATTGTTTTTACTATAATGTAACGACTCGACCGATCGTTTTGAGCTCTAGCACGTCCCTCGGCGGTTTGAGGCCATGAGTAGTTTCGCTTCGGGTATTACGACTTGTACGTGTGGTCGGAATTTAATTTCGAGAAAGTTCGGAGTCGATTTGAAAAGAAAATTCTAATTTCGGAAGCCTTAAGTTGGAGGAATTTACTAAAGGGTGATTTTGAGTAAACGACATCGGAATCGGGATTTGAAGGTTCCAACAGGTTCGTATGACCATTTTGGACTTAGAAGTATGTCCGGATCCAATTTTGGATGACCTGGGAACGTTTCAACGCCTATTGTGGAAGTTGGCATTTTGGAAGGATTTCATGAATTTGGGTTGGAGTGCATTTCAATGCTATCGATGTCCGTTTGGGATTTTTGAGTCTGGGAATAGCTCTGTATGGTGATTCTGGTATTGGGAGCGCGTCCGTATATGGATTTGGAGGACCGTAGGTTATTTCAGGGTCTTTTGGCGAAAGTTGGAACATTGAAGGTTTTTGAGAAGTTTGACTGGAAGTGAACTTTTTGATATCGGGGTTGGATTTCGATTCCGAAAGTTGGAGTAGGTCCGTAATGGCAATTATGATTTGTGTACAAAATTTGAGGTCAATAAGATGTGATTTGATAGGTTTCGGTATCGATTGTAGAAGTTAAAGTTTCAAAGTTCACTAAGTTTGAATTGGAGGGTGATTCGTGTTTTTAGCGTTGTTTGATGTGATTTGAGGCCTCAAGCAAGTTTGCATTGTGTTATGGGACTGGTTGGTGTGGTTGGACGGGGTCCCGAGGGCCTCGGGTGTATTTCGAGGTGGTTGTGGATCAATTCAGGCTGTTTTGGACTGCTGTTGCTGGTATCTAATTTCCTTCTTCGCGAACGCGAAGGGAGTCATGCGTTCACGAAGAGGAACTTTTGGGGCTGCTTATTTTGCCCATCGTGATCGCGATGGGGGAGACATGAACGCGGTGAAGGGCTTGATGGACCTACGCGAACGCGATTGGGCAGTCGCGAACGCGTAGAAGGAAGTGAGGATCTAGGCCTGAGGCTGTTTGGTCTACGCGAACGCGAGGCCGGGTGTGCGATCGCGAAGCAGAGAGGGCGGAAGACTTCGCGAACGCATCGTGTGGAAAGCGAATGCGAAGAAGGTTTTCTGGGCGGATGGCTTTTGGCTTTCGCGATCGTGAGGGTGTGTCTACAATCGCGATGAAGGGCAGTGCTGGGCAGTGTTATTTTAAAGATGGGATTTGGCCCAATTTCCTTCATATTTCATTTTGGTTGGGTGATTTTTGGATTTTTTGAAGAGCAGATTTCATCATAAATTATGAGGTAAGTAATTCTCGCACATTGTGAGTTAAATACATGAGTTGTATAAAGATTTATACATGAAATTTTGTAGAAATTTGGGATTTTGGTAGAAAACCTAGAAATTATATTTTTGGATTTTGACCACGAATTTTGGTATGGAATTGAGAACAAATTATATATTTTGGTTCGTAATGCTATGGGCCTAAGGGTTTGCTTTATTGATTTTTCGAGCGGAGTTGGAATTTGTTATAAATTGATTAATTATGAGTATTAGAGTACATTTTGATTGGGTTGCATCTTATTTGACTAGTTTTGGATCGGTGGTCATCGGTTTGAGGTGTTAGAGCGGCGTTGGAGCCGGTTATGGAACTTCGGTATCACGACCCAATTTCACCTATAGGTCGTGATGGCGCTCAACACTACAACTAGGCAAGCCAACTGATAAATCAAACGTACATTGGTTAAACTTTTAATCCAAAAAAATAATAAAATACCAAATTCTACCAATATTTTGCCAAGACCCGGTGTTACAAGTGCATGAGCATCTAATAGATTATATAAAACTCTGATTACTTTCTGGAATGAAATAGAAAGAATGCAAATATAAAAAAAGATACTGGTAGCTGCAGAACGGCTCAGAAAGGCAGCTCACCACTATGCCTCGGGATGACGTGGATATGTGATGATAGGTCATCCATCAGTACCTGTCTTAGATCTTGCACAAAAAGTACAGCAAGTGTAGTATGAGTAANTCAAATAGCTTTACAAGCTGCAATAAACCGTCAAAGTATCGTGTAATTATTATTATTATTAAGCTCGATTTCTGCCGAGGTCGTTCGGCCCGATCCAGAATATTGTGTACACTGCCGAGGGACATGTGGCACGATCCATAGATACATCTATCCTGCCGAGGCGTTCGGCCCGCTCGACAAGAAAGGAGGATATTTTCTTATGTACCTCCGGAATGAGAGTATATTTGTTATAAGATAAATTCAGGAGGAAGAATAATTTATCTTAACAATTAATTAATTTAAACAGAACAAAAAAAAAATCAAGTATATGAGATTTTCATCCTTTAATATTTTTATCTAACAATTCACAATATATATGTATATATATCAAATAATATTAATTAAACAAAGAATACAATTTACACAAGTAATTCATGCTTTGAGTCTTAAACTACCCGGACTTTAGCATTAATAGTAACTACGCACAGACTCTTGTCACCTCGTGCGTACGTAGTCCCCACAATTAGCAACAATTATTTAATTTTAATCACCTATGAGGTAATTTCCCTCTCACAAGATTAGACAAGAGACTTACCTCGTCTTGCTCCAATTTAATCCACTAGAAGGCCTTTTTCACGATTTTCCAACTCTGTCTGGCTCGAATCTAGCGAAAATAATTCGATACAATCACTAAAAGTTATAGGAATCAATTCTATAAGAAAATACAATCACTAAAAGTTATATGTTGGCCCCTCCACTGGACTTTTACTGCAGAAATCCTCTTGGACCTCAACTGGCGAACCTGTTTATCAACAATGGCAATTGGCTCCTCTTCATAACCCAAGCTATTATCTAGCTGAACTGTGCTGAAGTCTAACACATGTGAT